TAATGATACAAAATTTTGTACCATTTAGAATCAACCGGAGCGTTTCTAGCGAAATGTATTGCATCCGAGCTGAACAAATTACGCGTAGTTAAGATCCCGCCCGGTGCACCCAGTCTGAATATTGATAGAGCTCCAGTGTAGCCAATTTGTACTCTATGCATAAGTAATGTGGAAAATATGGCGGCTAGATTGAAGCGGCGGTAAATATTGGCGCGGACGACTATGCGATCGGTTTTTGCGCTTTGAAAATCGCGGATTGTAGAGCGAACGTTGATGGCAGCGTGCGAGTGTGTCGACCTGGGGAACTTAAAGCGATGACAGCCGATGTGGGCAGTGGTTGCCACGCAGAAGGTTTCGGGTTTAATTCCCGGTAGGGCCACTCACTAAGTTGATATTTATCACTTTGTGAATTTGTTCCCAGTCTGGTTAGGACTTTGCAGGCTGAACCACCTGATTGTCCGAAAACCTAGAAGGTTCCGTGCTTCAGATGGGCACGTTAAGCCGTCGGTCCCGGTTGCTGTCTATGATGGCGGCCGTTACACAACCATGTCAGAGGCCAGCTACTTGAAAATCGTTGATACCAGGGTTCATCGGGTCGTTGAACGACTCAGTGTCCCACAAGAAGAGAGAGACTTAAAGCGATGAAAGCTAGCTGATACACGGCGTAAGCACAAAATGAGAGTTTACGTGAATATCACTGAACCCTATTTAGGATTTACGCGATTGTCTCTTGTTACATAGCTAGGGTTGCTGGATTCAATACGCGGACGAAATTATGAAATTTGTCTCACGCATAATATATATCTTGATTAACTTTTGGGTTTGTTTTTTGATGCCAATTATTGCAATGAAATATCAAGAAGAACAAAATAAATAGTTGAATTTGGTTATCATTTTTAATTTTATGACTGGTTTTAGTTTTATTGGGGTTGTAAATGTATGAAATATCCTAAATTGGTCATTAAATAAAAACTAGACGACTCAGTAAGGTAAAAGCTCCTATTACCGCGTGTTTTCACGTCGCGCGACTTTATGCGCCAAAAATAAGATGTTCTTGTTGACTTACAGAGTATTGATATATTTTTTTAATAAATGTTGAGTTTCTATTTTACGATTCTCATATCATTATTTTTTTATCAGGACTTTTTAGAATTCAAATTATTTTTTAAAGTTGAAAAGGCGATTTCCCCTAAATTCGAGGTATTTTTAGGGCTTGAGCCTAATTTCGCGGAAGCGGATCCTATTATCGAGGGTATTGAAAATAATGCGTTTTGGGTTCTGTATAGGTAAAAACTATTGCTTACAAACTAGTAGAAACAGAATAGTAACTAGTATCTATAGGGTTACATTTAATTAAGTAAAAGTCTCTTGAGCGTGTGGTCTACTCACAAAACTGAACAACTTTAGTTAGAAGAAACTTTTCTTCGAAATATGAAAAATATTGGCACTCTCATACAAAAATCTTGAAAAAGTGTGTCACTTAATATGGGAGGTCCAATTTTGTTTCATATTTCCAAGAAAAGTTTCAACCAAAAATTGTTCAGTTTCGTGAGTAGAACACACCCTTAGGAGATTTCTACTTAATTAAATGTAACCTTATACGTATATTCTGTAAATAAGCTTCTGTATTTGAACTGTAATCTGCCCGAAGCTATATTCTGGTTATTTGGATATTTGGTTTGGTAAAATTTTAAATGTGATGTTTCGCTCCGAAACCCTATCAACATAGAATTTAGTTTAGAGTTTTTCACTCTGGCCACATAATCAAATTATACAGTCAAAACATATATTATGTTATACATATGTATAACATATGTATAAACATTATGAACGAACTTATACTAACGACGTGATTTACACAGAGTTCAGTTCTGAGTTTTTGACTCTGGGCGCCTATATAAAAAGTAAAACCGAATATAATTAGAGATCTCATTAGATTGTTGCCTGAGATCAAGACCGAGGTTTTAATCCCTTTTTTATTTTTTGGGAACTTGCAAAATTTTCCACCGCAGGTAAAAAGTAGTCTTAGTTGACTATGCCTAGTAGCTATACACCACGAAAACTTTCGTTAAAATTCATCCAGTAGTTTTGTCTTCATTTATTTTCAACCATCAACATGGGTAGTATTCGGCAAATTCCGGGTGATTTGGGTAAAAACCTGGGTTTTACCTGGGTGAGTTCAATGGGTTTTTACCCACTACCCATTCCTGCCTATATTATAGTAAGAACAGCATAGCCTATATTATAGTTGACAGCCGATGTGGCGCAGTGGTTAGCATGCCTGCCTGCCACGCAAAGGTTCCGGGTTCAATTCCCGGTGGGGTCACTCACAAAGTTGATATTTATCACTTTGTGAATTTGATCCCAGTCTGGTTAGGACATTGCAGGCTGAACCACCTGATTGTCCGCAAGTAAGATGGTTCCGTGCTTCGGATGGGCACGTTAAGCCGTCGGTCCCGGTTGCTGTCTATGATGGCGGTCGTTACACAACCATGTCAGAGGCCTGCTACTTGCAGTAGGCGGTTGAAAAACTCTGACACCAGGGTTCATCGGGTCGTTGAACGACTCGGTGACCCACACGAAAAGAAGAAGAAGAAGAAGAAGATAGTAAGAATTATCAAAAAAAAACTCAATATCTCGTTCAGATTCTCGTTTGGTTTGTTCGAGATCGAGGTAGCATTTTTTATTCTATACCTTACAAGATACAAGTGAATATTTTTTTTGTATTCACTTAGTTTAGGTTATTTCATTATTTTTAAGCACCTCTATACTTTATATCTGCAAATTTACTATCTATATGTACTATTTTATTTTGAAATAAATTATCTTTATCTTATCTTATCTTACCTATGTAAGTAGTAAAGTTTTTCTCATCTTATATTCATTCTCACAGACCCCTAAATCCACTTTAAATTCTTTTATCACTCGATAATAGGTTTATATGAAAGTCCTATCTTCGAGCCATCATTACTCGATGTTAGGGTCTCATAGAGCCTATTATGGCGGTACAAAATCCTTATGGCTCGGTAAAAGGGGAAATCTCTCTTCCGTTTTAACCTAATTTCGAGTGATAAAAAGTGACATATTGAAGATGTTTTTAATATCATAGTCGTACTAAAATATATGTTAAATAAAAGTATCAAACAAAAATACTAATAGTATATACGAAAAATGGTTTTTTAAGGCAGTAAATAAACTTGGTTTTCGTTAGCCCAATTCTATGAACTCAGTACAAAACACAGTTTTTTAGAGTCACACATTTCTTTCAAAAACAAGAAACTTAGCGCAAAAAACCTACTACGAAAATAGGTTTTTACGTTCGGTATATAATGTAGATAACAGCTGAGTAGATAAATAACAAATAACTGAATCCTGTGCACCACAAATTAAAAATAAATCTAGAACTATAAATTCCCTATCACCGATGGTACCGCGATATTAAGAGCCACCTAACAAAAAAGCGCCTAATATCGCGAATGATTATTTTCGTAATTTAATGCATTTAATTAGGGTAAAAATACCAAATAAGACCTAAATCTAATTCTACATACACTAAAGCAACTAGCGATATTTTTTTTTTCTACACATTAAACTAATTTAGCACCTAAATTTGCTTAGCAAAATTCTTGAAGTACTTACGTCGAGCGAGCTGTGTTTGTATGGGACGACCGGATTCTGTGCTGCCGTCGCACAAACTGGTGGATTTTAGCGTGTTTGAACGTTGTTATGCAAACTACCGCCAGAACGATGGTGCAAAACAAACTAGAGCACACATTCATATTTTTTATTTTGCAATACGCGGTTCCGGTAAAATTATAAAGTCCAAAAACAAAATACCTCGATATTAGGTGCCAAAAAACGGTACCTCAATATTAGGAGCTTTTACCTTACTGTACTTAAATGAATTCAAATGATTCAGAATAACCCAACCAATCGTCCCTTAAAATGCCTACATCAATCCGCCGGACACATTGTATGTCGAACACCTAAATATTACTTCTTCTTCTTCTTCTTCTTCTCGTGTGGGACACCGAGTCGTTCAACGACCCGATGAACCCTGGTGTCAGAGTTTTTCAAGTAGCAGGCCTCTGACACGATTGTGCAACGACCGCCATCATAGACAGCAACCGGGACGGACGGCTTAACGTGCCCATCCGAAGCACGGAACCATCTTACTTGCGGACAATCAGGTGGTTCAGCCTGCAATATCCTAACCAGACTGGGGACAAATTCACAAAGTGATAAATATCAACTTTGTGAGTGACCCCATCGGGAATTGAACCCGGAACCATTGCGTGGCAGGCAGGCATACTAACCACTGCGCCACATTGGCTGTCAATATTGCTTTAGGCCCTAGGTATAGGTATTCTAGGATATGGTATGATCGATCGTTGAGAGATTGGGTGTCAACTTATAAAACAATCTATCACATTATAGTCTAAGAGCTTGTAAGGTTTTGCCACTCCCGCCCAGACAGGCTGGGTGGCGTATGAATCCAGAATGAGAAAATGTTTCTAGAGAGATCCTGTCGAACAACTAGATGAAGCCATGAAAAAGTCGTCCTAATTAGACTAATGGCGTCAGTGGAAACACAAATATGTTAATTAAAAATATTCTCGGCAACTTGATGTGTGTCTTATAAACGAACTGTTTACATCCAGCCTATATTCAATAAACAAAATTATCTTTCGCTTTCGCCATTCAGTCTCTTATTTGAGTCAAGGTTTCGTCTGGCCTTTGAGTGTCGTCTCTAGTATTATTAGTGAGGTATATTTTGCTGTAGGTTAAACATACCAAAGATTGTGGAAAGTATTCGAGGTTTTACTATGGTTGCTCGTAGGAGTATTTCGCCAAAAATTCTATGTCCTAAGCATGTCAGTAACCCAATCACCCTAGTGAGCTTCAATACAGCTCATATACAGCTCCAGTGTAGCAACTTAGCATTCATCTTTAAAAACATGCCAATAATTGTAACAAGTTAAGAAAACTTGCAAAATTTTCACCGCAGGCTGGATTTGAACCAGAGACCTTCGCCATCTGTACTGCTGTACTGGCGACGCCTCTACCAACTGGGCTACAGCGGCTCACTCCAAGCCCGCGAATTAAGCAAGTGCATTTGACCACTAACGCGTGGTAGTTTTCCTAAATTGTATACCTAACACTGGAATGTGTTTTAAAAATTTGGTATTCAATACTGCCCTCATAAGCATAAGCAACGCAATCGACATTTTTGGGAGATTTGAGTTATATACATATTCGGAATCGGCGTAATGAGATCTACAAGGATCACTGACTCATTTTGAAATATCTATATTTTATCCCATATTTCTATTAGGCATAACCAACGCAATCGACAAAAAAAAAGTGGACATCCTAGTGATAACCATCGTAATGGCTATTACGACGTATGTCACCACACATTTCTTTTTATAAAAGTAAACATAAATATCATAAGATCACTTACGATCATTATAATTAGGTTTAGGTTTTCTAAATCAACATAACCACTAAACATAAACAACGCAAAATCCAATACGTCAGTTATGTGAACTTTATGTGTAGTTTCGGTAAAATATTAACTGCAAGAATATTAAACATAAACAACGCATTTGACATACACGATGCAAAGATTAAAATTTTGGTGTTTTGAAACATAACTTTGCAACCATGGCAGAGATCTCTGCAACCATGTCAGAGGACTCTGCCACCATGTCAGAGGACTCTGCAACCATGTCAGAAGACAGTGCCAACATGTCAGAGGACTCTGACACCATGTCAGAGGACTCTGCAACCATGTCCGAAGACTCTGCCACCATTTCAGAAGTCTCTGCCACCATATCAGAGGACTCTGCGGCCATGTCAGAGGACTTTGCCACCATGTCAGAGGACTCTGCAACCATGTCAGAGGACTCTGCAACCATGTCAGAGGACTCAGCCACCATGTCAGAGGACTCTGCAACCATGTCAGAGGACTCTGCAACTATGTCAGAGGACTCTGCAACCATGTCAGAGGACTCAGCCACCATGTCAGAGGACTCTGCAACCATGTCAGAGGACTCTGCAACTATGTCAGAGTACTCTGCAACCATGTCAGAGGACTTTGCCACCACGTCAGAGGACTCTGAAACCATGTCAGAGGACTCTGCCGCCATGTCAGAGGCCTCTGCCGCCATGTCTAACGACTCTGCATTCATGTCAGAGGCCTCTGCAACTATGTCAGAGGACTATAAAACCAAGTCAGAGGCCTCTAAAATGATTTTAAGAAGCCTCTGCACCCATGTCAGAGAACGCTGCGTTCATGTCAGAGGCCTCTGAAATGATGTCAAAGGACTATGAAACCAAGTCAGAGGCCTCTGAATTTTTTTAAGAGGCCTCGGCATCCATGTCAGAGGACGCTGCATTCATTTCAGAGGTCTCTAAAACGATGTCAGAGGACTCTGCAACCACGTCAGAAGCCTCTGCGACCATGTCAGGGACTCTGCCACCATATCAGAGGACTCTGTAACCATGTCAGAGGACTCTGCAACCATGGCAGTGTTCTCTGCAATGCAACCATATCAGAGGACTATGGAACCAAGTCAGTGACATCTGAAACGATTTTAAGAGCCCTCTGCAACCATGTCAGAGGACGCTTCAACCATGTCAGAGGACTCTGCATTCATGACAGAAGACTCTGCAACCAGAACAGAGGTCTCTGCAACCATATCAGAGGCCTTTGCTACCATGTCAGTGGACTGCAGCCATGTCACAGGACTCTGCAACCATGTCAGAGGACTCTGCAACTATGTCAGAGGACTTTGCAACCGAGTCAGAGGACTCTACAACCATGTCAAAGGACTCTGCCACCGAGTCAAAGAACTCTGCAACCATGTGGAGCCATGTCAGAGGACTCTTCAACCATGTCAGAGGACTTTTCAACCATGTGAGAGGTCATTGCAACCATGTCAGAGGTCTCTGCAACCATGTCAGAAGTCATTTCAACCATGTCAGAGGACCCCTAAAACCATGTCAAAAGTCATTGCAACCATATCAGAGGTCTCTGCAACCATGTCAGAGGACTCTGCAACCATGTCAGAGGTCATTGCAACCATGTCAGAGAACTCTGCTGCAGATGGGCTAACTCTATCTATTAATTATAAAAAGCGCAATTAGATTTCCTAGACATAAGCGACGCAAATGACGCAATTGCGATTGTTATGCCTAATAAAATGCGTACATTTAAATTATGTTTACTAGGCAATAACATTTTTTCTTATTTTTTAACTTTATATCAATAAAAAGAACAAGAAAAGGCCATGTTCTGTAAAGTACACGATTGTGTGCAAAGTAAAAAGTAAAAATTATTTTCATATTCGTAATAGTTTCGGCAGTGCACGTAAAAAACAAAAAAAAACTTTATGGCGCCATTTCTCGAAATCGATCGGAATGCAAGTGCGTTGCTTATGCTTATGAGGGCAGAATATGTGGCAAGTATTCGAGGTTTCATTATGGTTGCTCGTAAGAGTCTGTCAGAAAAAAAAAACCTTGTCTAAAGCATGTCAGTAACCCATTCGCCCCATAATTATCGTGATCTTCTATAAGGCTCTTATACAGTTCCTAGGTAGCTATACTACTTAGCATTCTTCTTAAAAACATAAGAAAGATTGTGGCGAGTATTCGAGGCTTCATTATGGTTGCTCGTAGGAGTCCGTCGGAAAAATTTCCTTGTCCTAAGCATGTCAGTAACCCAATCGCCCCATATTGTGATCTTCTATTAAGCTCATATACAGCTCCTGTGTAGCAACTTAGCATTCGTCTTTAAAAACACACCAAAGATTGTGGCAAGTATTCGAGGCTTCATTATGGTTGCTCGTAGGAGTCATTCGGGAATATTTTCTTGTCATAAGCATGTCAGTAACCCAATCGCCTTAAGCGCGATATTGTGAGCTTCTATACAGCTCTTATACAGCTACTATACAGCTCTTATACAGCTCTTATGTACCTACTTAGCATAATAATTCGCCTTGTGCCGCCGCATAGGGCTCGAATTACGCCACCGCAAATAAAACATGGTTACTTTAGGATAAAATATTAATATCGGTCAATCTAGGTCAATATAGAAAATATTCATGAAAGTACCTTTTGTTTAGGTATTATTAATTCTGTGTGGTGCCGGCTTAGAATAGCATCACCCCATATCTTTTCCGTAGGTGTCGTAAGAAGCGACTAAGGGATTTGAGAGTTGATGTGTATTGCAATTTAAGGCGACAGGCTAGCAACCTTTCACAATGGTAATACACAGTCTTCTGAATGACTCTCTAACTTTTGTCAGACGTTGTGTAAATTGCAGTTTTTTACGCTCTGCCTACCCCGCAAGGGATGTAGGCTTTGATTATTTTTTATTTCAATTCAGTTCCGCTACAAAATGAAGCGTACGTATGTGATTTTGGAATTATTGGTTTAATTAAAGGTAGTTAAATTTCATTTATAATCCAGGCAAATAAATTAATCAAAATTGTAATTAAATCTGGCAAAATAAACAGTTTGAACGTTAACGTCCTACAACTGCATGTGTATCGGTAAGTACGTCCTTCAAAACCGCCGTGTGATGCCGTCTTAGAATAGCATCGCTTCATACCATGACGTCTTAAGAAGCGTCTAAGGGATTTGAGACTTGATGTGTATTGCAATTTTAAGTGACAAGCTGACAACCTCTCACTAACATACAAAATTAAAAACGCTCATATTTTCTCACCGTAACTGAAAAATCATAAAAATAGGGGCACGCCAATAGTAGTAGGCCATGCATTATTATTAGGGAAGAAACCTGGGGAATATATTTGTATAAAAATGCTGAAAACGGGAATCGCTCGGGTATAATTTCCTTCATTAGATATTTTTATTTGTAATATTTGTTTTATTTACTATAGCTATATTTCGTTCAAAGCAACGGTTCAAAGTTTAAATTCACCATTTGCTGTGATATGAAAAAGCTGTGAAAGAAGATTGCCCATGTGACAAAGGACTACCGTCTAAATTGCCTCAAAGCCAAAGTGGTTCTAAACGGTTTATTAGCAACCATTTATTTACCTCTAGTTTTTATTTTTCTTTTAAAACCCGAAGTTCAAAGTTATTTATAAAAATAATACATAACCTAAAAAAACACAATATTTCAAATCTCACTTTTTGACTCATTAGTCATTACTTTGACATCTAAAGATCAACATGTAGGTAATCGTGATGGTGATCCCACGTTACTGATTGATAATACCGATAATACGAGTATTTTGTATGGTATTTAATACCTGAAAGTAAGTTTTGTTACATTTCCTTAGAAACAGCCTTAGATAAATGAATCCTTAATGACATTTTGGTGCTCTGTGGAATCAGCTCACAGCAGAGTATCTTACTGAAGTTTGGCCAGACCACACCGTGCCTGTAGGTCATTTAACACATGAATAATACCATTTAGGCTGTGTGCTGCCAGCTTAGAATAGCATCATACCATATCTACCCGTGGGTGTCGTAAAAACCGACTAAGGGATGAATCCAGGGAATAAGCAGCAGCGTTCTCTGTTAATACAACACCTTGCAATGCGCTTGCCAATCCTAATCAAAAGAAGACCTACGTGAACCTGGATCAAATTGGGGATGTCAGGAAAGGTCAGGTCAAGAGTAAGTACCCTAAACCGACGAGTAGGTATGTAAAGGTTCATGAATGTTGAGGAAGCGAAAGAGGTGTATCAGCAAGTGGAAGCATGTAGTCTTTGCCTACCCCTCCGGGAAAGAGGTGTGATTTTAAGTAAGTATGATTTAGGTATATCGAAAGAGGTGGATAATAAATAAGTTCAGCAAGTAGTGCAAAAGATATTTTTAATTAAAATTATCATTCAATTAAGGTTTCTTAGATTACTTATGCTATTTTCCTTACACCTAGATAATTAATAAATAAAGCAATAGCTGGTATACTCCATTCTATTATCATTCTATGACAATATTATGCAATAATAGAGTCAAAAAGTACCTAACTACTTTTTTTATCGGATAAAATAGAAGTACTATCCACCATTGTATAGGTATAGGTACCTAGAAGGGTGTGCGTCAG